AGCCAGTCAGGCACCCATCCATCTAGTATCTAGTCTTGCATCTAATCATTTCACTCCATCATCAAAGACTGTAATATTAAGTTAATGTCCATGTTCTAAGGTGTGGGAGAGCCAGTCAGGAAGAGAAATTATTGTCATGGATAAACATCGCGACGTCGTCAATTGTTGTGCCTTCTCAAATGACAATCAGCACATTGTTTCCTGCTCTGCTGACCAAACTGTCAGGGTAAGTTGTACACCAACTTTAACAACACAAAACGGTGGCCGAGCGGTGAGAGCGCCGGCCTGTCACCACTGTGGTCCCGGGTTCGATTCTGACTTGGGATCATATGTGGCTTGAGTTCTCTCCCTTGCTTCGAGGGTTTTTTTCTCCAAGTTCTCTTGTTTTTCATCCCTCAGTAAAAACAGAACATTTCGATTCTAGCTGTGCTCCGTGATCAGATATGGGTCGGTTGGTTGGCTGCTTTGTGTGTGTGTTGTAACTATGTGATTATCCTCATAATGATAGCGCCCAGGTTGTATACCGCATAACCGACTCGATCACATGGCATTGAGCTGCATCCTTTGTAATTCAGCACTCGGGCTGCAAGGAAGGGCGATTAGATATCGCCAATTTATTTAAAATTTATTTAATTTAACAATAGAACACACCACTAGTCAAGAGCAGATTTCAGTATGAATCATGTTACAGGAACACATGGAAAAGTCCTGAAAATCTGCATGCTGTGTTGGTGTTGATATATTTTACTTAGGATCGATTTATGATTACAGACATATCATTTTACACACTCACAAAATGGTGCCGAGGTTGACCCGTGGCTAGGTTGCCATGGTTACCACCTTGCCAATTGCTTGCCTTTGCTTGCCTTGCTCTAGGCACCTAGCCTCCATCGTAACGACAAGTTAACTGTAAAAACTACAATAAAGTTCAATAAGAATCATTTCAATCACAGACTGAGAAGCAATGTTAATCGTCCAGCTTGYTTTCATTTTCAGGTTTGGGAAAGCAGTTCTGGTGATGAATTGTTGTGTTTCCATGGTCACACACAAGAGGTGTTTTGTTGCTGTTTTGCTCCTGATGATTCTACAGTTGCATCATGTTCAGCTGATAGGACAGTTAAGGTTAGTGGCTTTTATGAGCTTGAGTTAACTTTGAAGGCTTTCCAGAACTGCATGTACTTGTTGTACACTGTAAATTCATGTCATTGGTGATAACTTGATGATAATGATGACAGTAATGACAATGATGATGATGATAATAACGATGATGATGGTGATAATGGTGATGATGATGGTGATGATGGTGATGATAATAATGATGATGATGGTGATGATGGTGGTGATGATGGTGATGATGATGGTGGTGATGGTGATGATGATGATGATGATAATGATGATGGTGATGATGGTGATGATGGTGATGGTGATGATGATGATAATGATGATGATGATGATGAAGATAGAGGTGATGATGATAATGAAAATTGTGATAATGATGATGAGGATGATGATGATAATGATGATGACAATAATAATAATGATAGTAATAATAATAATATTTATTGCTATCCTCCATTAAAATAGTTTTTTTCAGAAACTTTTACAATGTATGATGATGATGATGATGGCGATGATGATGATGATAATGATATTTATTCAATTTAATTAGTTATGGGATAGCAAGACAGGAATTCAGAAGCTTACCTACCAAGGACACACAGATATTGTTAGATGGTGCTGTTACTCCCCTGATGGTAGTAAAGTAGCTTCTTGTTCAGATGATACAACTGTTCAGGTATGCATTTGAACGTACATGTACCTTCTTTTAATGACACCTTTTCATCTTGTCTTATTTGCTCTTTGATTTATGAACTTCTCTTTCTTACATTTTCTTTCCTTCTGGTTTTGTGAATGTATTCTCTTTGTTTTAACCCATCTTATTTTGCTGTGTCATTTTCTGTTGTAGGTCTTTGAAGCAAATACTGGAAGGATCCWGATTTCTCTAGAGGACCATGTGAATTCTGTGTCCTTCTGTTCCTTCATGAGCCAAGGAGAGAGTGTAGTAGCTGTGTCCAATAATTGTGTCAA